CGGGGTCAGCTTAAGCGTAAGCTGACTAGAAGCCTACGCAAAGATCGTGAACAGTGGTGGATAGCGAAAACAAGAGAGATGGAAAAGGCAGCAGCAATATGTAACAGCAGGCAACTGTTCAGACTTGTTAAGGAAACCTGCATTAGGAACCCAACTGTTAGCGAAACAATCGCAGAGAAAGATGGACATATTATTCATTCTTAATCCAGGAGATTGGATAGATGGGCAGAACACTTTAGGGATCAGTTCAACTGGCCTTCAGGCACACTTCGGTTTCCCACGACCTCCAATCTACCTGAATGGCAAGTTAATGTGAATCCTCCGACTCTTTACGAAGTTGAAAAAGCTATAGGAAATCTGAAGCGTGGGAGAGCAGCAGGCTCTGACAGGTTTACCCTTGAGATTTTTAAGGATGGATGTCCAGTATTAGCAGCGAGATTGACTGAGGTCTTAGGTAGAATCTGGGAACTGGACGTAATCCCATCTGACTGGTCTCAATCACTGATTGTGCCAGTCTATAAGAAAGGACAAAAGTCCTCCTGTGACAATCATAGAGGAATTAGTTTGACTAATATAGTGTCTAAAATATTAGCTTCAATAATTCTTCGACGCCTAACCAATGCTCGTGAAGAACAGACTAGAGAAAACCAGGCTGGTTTTTGACCTGAACATGGTTGTATAGACCAGATATTCACACTACGTCAGGTCCTAGAACATGTACATACATTCAGACGCCCCACAATGATAGTATTTCTCGACCTTAAGACGGCATTTGACTCTGTTGATCGTGAGGTTCTATGGCAGTGTTTGTCACTGAAAGGAGTACCAAGGAAGTACATTAACCTTATAAAGGCTCTCTACTCGAACACAACTGGTCGAATGAGAGCTTATGGCGATCTGTCATCAGAATTGATTACCTCAAGTGGTGTTCGTCAGGGCTGTCCACTCTCTCCATTCTTGTTTAACTTTGTCGTTGACGTGCTTTTAGAAATAACACTTTCCTCATCTAAATTTCCAGGAGTTGAACTTTTACCGGGAGATCCACTTGTTGACATAGAATATGCCGATGACATAGTTCTATTTGGTGAAGACGCTGACAAAATGCAGAGTCTTCTAACTACTATAAGCAACAATGCAGGCATGTTCGGGATGTGATTTTCTCCCTCGAAATGCAAGATGTTGCCTCAGGATTGGGTTGCACCGCTACTCGAACTAGTGATAGGGAGTGAGGTAGTTGAGCGTGTCAACTGCCTCACTTATCTTGGAAGTCTCATCAGCCCTTGTGGTCTGGTGTGTGACGAAATCTCAGTACGGATACAGAAGGCTCGACTAGCTTTTGCCAACTTGCGTCATTTGTGGCGTAGGCGAGATATCCGTCTATCAACCAAAGGACGTGTTTATTGCGCAGCAGTTCGTTCCGTCCTACTTTATGGCAGTGAAACATGGTCAGTAAGAGTAGAGGATATTCGTAGGTTACTGGTATTTGATCATAGGTGTCTTCGAAATATTGCTCGTATATCCTGGGACCACCGAGTAAGTAATGCAGTTGTTAGGAAACGGGTACTAGGTAAGGATGGAAAATTAATTGATGAAGTAGTGAAACTTAATCAGTTGAGATGGCTAGGACATGTGTTGCACATGCCTCACCACCGACTGCCCCGACGCGCAGTGTTTTATGGTGTAGGAGTAGGTTGGAAGAAAGCTAGAGGCGGCCAGACCAAAACATGGCACAAATCCGTGACAAGTGGACTGAGTCATGTTGGTAGGTGTAGACTACCTGGTTGGGGACCGCGAGATGATAGCAACTGATGGTTAGAGACCTTGAATGACATGGCTCAAAATCGTTTGCAATGGCGCAGGTGCATCCACTGTCTGTGTTCTCTCAAACTCTAATCTGAATTCTTCATGTCCTTTATTTTCTTTCCCAATTTATTCCACTGGACTATACTCCTTTAATAACATCATCAAACCTTCATGTCCCCTATCTCTACTTATACTTTCAGTACCTCTACCACTATGGGATTTGGATCGATAACTGAATCTCTGTGCTAATGTGGTATGGCAACTCGAACTGATGTACGTACGTACGAAGTTTCACGTTGTTTCTGACCGACTGACTGAAACGACCCTATACCAAGCTGTATTAGAACCTGTCACAGCATTGTTGACTCAACTGAACCGGTAATGAAGTACTTGAGAAGCTTAGTTACTTACACCTGTTACTCCCAATGGAGCATAGGCAACCGCCAAGCGTTCTCAAACACACTCTGTCCCAGGCCTTCCTTTCTAGTTCTATCCAATTGTTGTTCATTCTTTTCATGTCTGTCTCTGTTTCTCGGAGTAATATTCTATGTCTTCCTCTTTTCACTTGGCCTTGAGGATTCCAAGTGAGGGCTTGTTTTGTGACGTAGTTGGATGCTGTCATCATTGTGTGTTACTATTATTATTCACAAACATCTTATGGGTACATAAATGTTGTGAAGAAACCATTTCGGGTTTCTCCAAAAATGCAATAATATACAAGTTTCAATTATGTTAGCATTATATTCGCCATATTCAAAAAAGAGAATAATAATATCTGCATCACATCCACCGTGTTCATCAATGATGCTGCTCAGATATGTAAAGGTTTTGACTTCTTCCAAAGCTTCTCCGTCAAATAATGGTTCAAATGGTTGTGGACGGAATAGAAGAAGCTTTCGCTTGACAGGCTTCCATGTCTAGTATCAGGGGTATAGAGAGAAGAGCCACCGGTCGATAACTTGAAGGTTCGCTGCGTCGACCTTCTTTGAAGATTGGTGTGATATGAGCCAGCTTCCAAATATCCGGTAGTTTGCTTCGACTTAGCGAGTGTGAGAACACCACGCTAAGCGGTGTTGCCAGGATTGAAGCTGCTTCCCTCAGTATAGCGGATTGGACCATATCTGGGCTTAGGGTAGTGTCTGTTCTTAGGTGCTGCAGTTTTCGGAACACCAGGTCAGCGCTCAGGTTCAGTACGGAAAGTCCTGCTAAGTTTCAGATGAAGCTTTCATCAGTATAGTTGATGTGAGTCGGTTAAAATGTCCGGGAGTATTGCTCAGCCAGAAAGTTAGAGGCGTCACTGTCGTTATCGTTCGAGCCGTTAGGACCTAGCAGTTGAGAAACTCCAGTTTTGGTTCGACAAAGAGAGGCTGAGTAATGGAATAAGCTTTTCGGATTGGAAATAAATTTATCCATAAGCTTTAACTGGTACTGAAGCCTGTCTTCTCTTATAGCCTTCGTACATATGTTCCTTATATGTTTGTATTGCCTGTACTCGCCGTTGTTGCTGGTTCGTTTGTATTCTGCCCAACAGTGCCTTTTACGGCTTAGCAAACGAAGAGTGCGTTTTTTGATGATTTTAGGTTGCTTGTGCCTTTTGGGGACCGTTTGAGGAACTGACTGCTTAGTAGCACATGAGAGCGTGTGCAGTAAGGAGTCCCAATGAGCATCCACATCAAGTTGAGGGTGAACATCCCAATCCACCTGTTGTAGATGGTCCTGTAGAGCTGACGCATTCAACCGTTTGAAGTTCCAGCGCCTGTTGTTGTCGGGATATCTTAGCTCTGTTTTGCTGACGAAACTGAAGGCTATAACGGCGTGATCGCTTTTCCCCAGGGGAGCCAGAATTGAGAGGTTGTCAACTAGAAATTCTCTGTTTGTAACAACACGGTCTAAGCGTGACGGTGTCTGACTGTTCCTCCAACGAGTAGCAGACTTCACATTTTCATATAATCCCAAATCCTCAATGAGGTTGAAGATCCGAGCTTCAATTGAATTTTCACCTCCAGTATACGTATGTTCCGCGAAGTTGACTCTAGGGAGATCGAAGTCCCCTAGAATCAGGAAATGAGTGAAACCAAGACGCGTGGAGCGGGATAGTCCTTCCAGCATACGACTGTCAGACTCTATGTCGGCAGTGAGCTTCCTATATATGACTCCGACTAGGCACCTCGAAGTAGTAGACAATCTCATAGAGCACAATATGGATTCCTCAAGATTATTAAACTCATGATTGTGAACCTGGTGTGCCTCTAAGCTAGATCGTATGTATTGGGCTACTCCACCCCCAAAATTTGTTTTTCTGTCATTGCGAAACAGAGACATCCCAGGTATTGCTAGCTCCTGGTCCGAATACTGAGGAGATATCCAAGTTTCAGATATTCCTATCAGATGAACTTTATTAGCGTTGCTAAGTTCACTTAGTTCATCCATTTTATTTGGTAGACTCGCGGCGTTCATGTATAAGCAGTTAATGGTTTCAATTTGAAACGCGTGAGCTTCTTCCTGTTTATCTGTGAGAGCCTTGCGTGAGTGGAAGAGTAGCCTACCTATATAAGGTTTTTCGAGTTGTTAGGCCTTGTCATTTACACGTTTTTTTATCTTCAAGACAGTCCACAAGTGGAATGGTCAGCTCCAGCCTGCCTTTGTGCTTGATCCTGGCGTTAACTTATGAAGCTATCTGTCCTTTATACTTTGTCTAACGAGTGAAATTTCTAAAACTTACAGGCACTTAATGGGTTGAATCTGAACGTAAGAATACAATTTACACCTGAGTTTTCATTTAGAACACGTTTACATGTCTTATGTGAACACGCTATTGCAGTTCATTCTACCTTACTGGTAACAAAAATATAACATGAGAGCAAGATTTTAAACTTAATGCCCACTGAAAATGATAATCTCATGTCAACTACAAGAATTGACACCTTTCTTATCGAAGAAATACTTCCGAAAACAGACTTTATTCTACAGAATTAACAGTTTACTAATTCTGGTCGGTGAATATGGAACTGTTTCCTCTGCCGCAATTACAGCTTACCAAACAGAATTAAAATTCATTAAAAATAAAGTGTTGAATAGACTTGAACGTTAGAGAGTCTACCAGTAATTTTCTGACGCCGCACGATGTTAGGTGCAAAATGTTGTTTTTCCGCGCTGAATAATGGCGATAATTTAACAGGATAGTAACAGAGATACAAATGACAGATAACGATGGTGAACTTATGGTTGTTTCCTTTCTGAGCTATTCTAAGTATAATAGGCCACTGTGTTCTATTTTATGAGAGAAGAGTATCCCCATCACGCCTTTGCTGCTCTAAACATCGCTCATAGAAAATATCCGAACGACCCATTTATCAAGCTACTTACTAGTATTGTACTAGTAGCAGAAGGTTACATTTTTTCATTTTTCAAGTTTTGTTTAGGTTCTTTACAAGAGGCGTTGAGGTACCTCAATGAGCTCAAGAACAGGGATGAGTTTTCTCTTGCGTCTCTAATATCAATTGTGCATTTACATACAGAACTGCCCAACATATGTAGTTCCAGTCGTAAAGTCAATAATGTTGAACTAATTATAGGCCAAGATGTAGTAGAAGAGTGTAAGAATAGGACGAGGGAGTTGAGGAAACATGCTACTGATAGAGTTATCTCCATATAATTTATCTAACGACATGTTCATTTTATAGTCACTTTATTTTGGTGCTTTAGCACTGTTTTTCTTTAAAAGATATGATCAGGCTAGGGAATACTCCGAAAAAGCACTTAAAATCAATCCGCGTTCCAAGGAGGTATGCTAACAGTTATCTATAAGTCCAATCAATTTTTTACCGATTCTCAGATATTGTGTCTGAATGGGTGGATCGGACTAATGTGTAAAGATGAAGATTTTCAGGACAAGTCTGTGAAGTATTTTGACAAACTCGAGTGGTATGAATTGATCTGGTTTGTAACTTCATATTAAGTAGTGATGATGAAACTATGTCAATTGATTGTTTGATGGGTAGAATAAAATATTTACAAGCCTCAAAGTCATTCTCGTCTGCCTTGGATGAAGTGAATAGTTTAGTAGTGAAATTTCCAAGTTACGTTCCTGGTTTGATTGAAAAGATGAGGATTCAACTTGCATCTCAAGACTGGGAATCAGCTTCAGATACAGCCACTAGGCATGAAGTTATTTTAAGTTTTACAAACAATATTTAGATGCCTGTCAATCGACCCTACGTGTATAGAGGCTTTAAAGTTTCAAATTCTGTGTTTGCTGTGTTACGAAGGAAACGCTTGTGCAGTAAGCTTAGCATGAGCTTATTTCAGATGTTTGTTAGGCACTGAAAAAGCTGGAGGAGCTTAAAAAAGAACTCGAATTATCGGAACCAAAAACATCAAATCAATATTCATCTGTTTCTAAGCTGATATCCCTAATCGTAAGTTTAACTTTAATTATGGTTTGCTATCAAACACAGCTAGCTCTCAGAGCTATAGACTTTATGGTTTGTCTAACATTAAATTTATTGGTCTTATTTTAATAATTTCAGTGTGGTCGTGATCCTACAATACTGCCAAAGGTTCAAGAACTATGCGAGAAAGCAGTTGAACTGACACCTGGAAACTATCATTACCTGATTAACTTAGGTAATATTGTTCTCATGCAGGGCAAACTAAAAGAGGCCGTTCAACATTTTCGGAATGCGGTAAATTTGTGTGAAACAAGCTTTGATGGTCTAAAAGGTGATAATCAGTTTTTATACACTCATATTTAAATAACACCAGTTAAAATGCTTCAGTAATTTTGTAAACTCTGGAAGGTACCACTAATGATGTGTATATTTAGTTCAAGACACCTGAACTTTGTTTTATCATGATCAGTACAGATATAAGTTATCTCACTGTTGGTATGTGGGACTGAATTCTCTCTAGTTTTGTTACTATGTGTGCGAATCGTCTCTGTATAGCCATTTTTCTACAAATGTTTTGTCAAATAGATGGATTTGTGACTAGCAGCAGAACCCAGGACTAGAGTTCCGATTTATTTGGAACTCGTCAACTGAGTGTACTTGCATGGAATGCACCACATAGAATGCAAAAATCCCTACAGATACTCATCGAAATTTAGTCAGGATAGCTTAAAGCGCAATAATTCAAATACATTCCCTCAGTAATGCAAATACCATACCTGATGCGGAAGCGAGTGACTAGTTGGACTCCCTAGATCATCCGATAGCACTTTGGTCATTTAAAGGAAATAGTGCTGGTTTCAAACTTCTGCCTTAGGATTAATGCTGGTATTCATTTATGTTCAACTAACCAGTACCAAATAAGACGAAACGCGTGTCCTGAATCAAGGTGTTAGCCGCAAATCGATCTATTCCATAAAGTCTTTCAAAAGTTCTTTTTTCTCTTAACTACCATTTACAACTTATCTTAAAGTTTAGACAAAGAACTAAATGTCGTTTTCTCGAGGGATTTGACTCGACATAATTAAAATCGTAGAAGATGATACAGTCAAGACAGTTGAAAGTTTTGGCTATTGTGTCATTTAAAGTACCCAAATCGATGTAAACATTACAAAAGTCATTTGTACTTTTGATGCCAATTAGTTCATATGATCGAAACAAAGTTTTCGCATTTTGACTAATAACCTAAATCATACTTGTCTCCATTAAATTTAATTGTAAGTAAGAAGTTTGATAACTGCTACTAATATAGGAGTACGTAAATTTAATCAAGTTAACTACAAAATATACCTCACCAAGTTATCATTATATATTCTAAATTAAAATGTCAAATATATGAAGCATACTAGAATAGGTAGACCATACAATAAATAGTAAATAGCAAAAACCGTAGCTAGCGTGACCTCCAAAAGCCTTTTAATGTAGTAAAACAACATATATTTTGATTACAGATTACTAAGGAAAATACTTTATTGTTTAATGATTTCGAATAGTCTGGAAACCGAGATGAAGTTTGTTAGAAAATATTTTAATTATCTGTAAATTATCTTGTCTAGTTAAACTAATCTCAAAATGACTTACATATTTCTTCAGCTGTTGTTAAGTGTCAACTTCTTCAAAACAATCTACATGAGGCTTCAACACAATTAGAATTTTTGAGTGAGCTACAACCAACGATTGGAAAGTCTTCCGTAAGTAAACCTTTAAAAAATGAGTCTTCTGCAAATAATTTTGGATAAAGTAAGAATTTTGGAAGAAATTTTATGTATACACGATAGAAAATTTCCTGTATTGGGTTTATTTTATAAGGAAAGCAAAAGATCACTATTTTTGGAAGTTGCATATTCTGAACAACGTTAAAAAATATGCATCATATTAACTAGGTTGCAGTATGTCAACATCGAAAGGCTTACTACGGGAAATCAATGCCACTTACCATGATTTAACGGGTCTTAGTCGCTTTTCAAGCACAGGAATATATAATTTTTCAAACAGGTTTTATGCGCACGACATATTAAATTTGAGTTTACTAGGTATCTTAAGTCGTACGTATCAAAACTGAGTCAAATGCGTCGTTTCCCACTTAAATGGAAAACTGTCTATATTGTAGTCTGTTCCAAATCGATACAATAGAATAAATAAATTCCTAAATAGTTGAGTTATGTATTGCAATTATCACTGACCTTTCCCTTTATGTCACATTTTTACTTATAACTGAACTGTATAAGTGGTAATTTGTTACTTAAATGAAATCTAATTAGTATTAGAATGAGTCTTAATCGCTTGTTATCATTAAACTCCCATAGAAAGCAAGTCCCAGATGAAGGCGATCAATTGTTATTTTCAAACTGTTCAATCCATCCTGGCTGTTTTTAAAATTTCATTTGCATTTGATCAGTTGAACAGTAACTAATCTTATAAAAGTAAATGGTAAACTATGTGAAATATTTCTGGTATCAGCAATCCAAAAGCCTTTCACTCATTTTCTATAGTATGTACAATCATTACTAGTAATTCAAACTCATAAAGTAGCATAGATATAGTCTTATAAAATCATACTAAAAAAGAATGCATGTGATTTAATTACCCAAGGGGTCAGTTGTTGCCCTGGTAGACCAGTGCAATCGCTTCCAACTGCAAAGCTGGGTGACACGGGATCAAATCCATCAAGGAGCGTCAGTTTCCTCAAGATTTCAGGTATATCACGCTGATGAGTGCAAAATTGCATGAAACCTAGGTCCAGAGTTTCCTGTAGACTACCCCCGACCGCCTCCCTTATCTTATCTAAGATGTGAAAGGTGGTGTCTAAAATATGATGCTAATACACGACGCATCATGCGTTAACCTTTCGACTGACTACCTAAGTGAAAACACAGGAGTGGATGGAAATGTATATTGAACTACCAAGTGAAATACACAAACCCAGATATATATACTCCTTAGAAAATCAATCCGTCTCTCAGATAATGATATACAGTTATCCTTCAAGTCGCTTCTGATTGTCGTCGATTGACCATCTCTTCGGCTACTTCTGATTGGCTTACCATATCACAAAACCTCCGTCATACCCATTGATTAGCCAGGAAAATTTCGAGCAGTAAATATATGCTACGTTTCTAAAACTGGAAAATGTAGGACCTAAATAATTTGAACTCCCGAGGATACTGGAATTGGCTTATAATTTTTAGAAAGATTTAGAAGGTTATAACTAACTTGAAACGAGAGAAAACATTAGGCACCAACGCGCTACAGTTTTATAACTTTAAAGAGGCTGATCCAATACACTTATGTGAATTCTAGCAACTTGTGTTAGTAATTACAAATATCAGATGTAACATTGTTTGTGTTAATAGATAAAGACAGTATTAACGGTGAGACTAATATTTAGAAAGACTGTAGCAAACAAATGTAAATTTCTAATAAATAAAACCCGTTGTATTATAAAATTCAGATGACAGTATCTGAACTCGAAATACACTTTCTATTAGCTCCTATTTTATTGAATAGGAAGTAAGCTACATGGTCTCAGTACTCAGACGCAAACAAGGTTTATCAACATCTCAAATACTAACGCCCTTGAATGAAGCTATGGAATTGCAGCTTCATAAACTTCGGGTAAGCAATAAATTGAATGCATGTATTTTTATGTTCTTCATCTAAATCCACTATTATCAGACTGAAATATTACGAGAAGTGGTGTAAAGTAGTGGTAATGATAATACTTTAGATAGTCTGAGGTCAAGAATGACGTTGACAATCCAGTACGCTCTTTTAGGAGACCTCCCATATCAAGATAGTGTTGGGCTTCATGTGCCTCAAGAAATCCTGAAAACGTCGATATAAAAAATCTAGTATTTTTACAATTCATTTGATTTATTTATTCATGTATGATATAAAATTATGATAGATTCAGAGGGATTAGATTCTACTGTTTTTAAACGAGAAAATTTCAAAAGTTTGCTTCAAAGACTAACATCAGCTGAATAACTAATAAAAAGTGATAAAGTAAGTGATTACTATTAAACATATATGGAATTTCGGTTGATTAGTTGGTTTTTTAGTTGCATTTTGGTGAGTTTTATATAATTATTGTCTAAATAATCAACACAAATCCTACCATAGATGTCATCTAATACATATGAAAAGAAGTGATAATTGATTAATTTTTAAATTAATGACTGAGCAAGTTTATGCTTAAGTAGCAAATACTCAACGTTATTTGAACTAAAAGTGGGAAGATGTACAGAGGTAAATGAATGACATAAGTAAATGGAGCACAAATAAGCGTATGCTGGAGGGATTTACACATTAGTGAAGAGAATACAAGGGAATGCCTTATCAAATTATTCATCATATTTCATAAACTATATCTATCATTTAAATTCATTGGCACAATTCAGACTAGTAGTGAGAGAATCAGTGAATTGGTTTCTAGTAGATCGAATACTACGAAAACGTTAACTCAACTTACAGTTACTGATTGGTGTGATACGTACATGATAGGAGTTTCTACAGAACTCTAAAATCATATTTAATACAATTCTGTTGATTAGGCTTATTTTTAGTTTTCTATCTCCACTCTCCCGTAATTCGAATTAACAGAAAAGCTTTTCAGTTAGGTAATTCTCAATAGTGAGTAATTTAATTGAACTTCATTTTTCTGTGGTTCATTTTTCACATTTTGATGTTTATTTTCTCAGTTAATTCACTATTGAAATTCAACCTACTTATAAGTAGTGCAAAGCATATATCGTATTTATTAGCTATATGTAATTTGTATTGTTATGACGATTGCTTTTAGAATGTCAGTTTGAGCCTTGAATATTATGAACTGTTAAATCCAGACTTTCTCCTTCAACTTATCAGTGAATATTTAATTCATGCACCACCTCAACCTTCAAATATTGGCAGTACATTTAGAATATTTAATGATATGGCATATATAAATGACCAATATGATTCAGTTCTTATGCGATGTTTACGTATTTTAGAACCATTGACACTTTCAGCCCCAGGTTTTCAAAAAGCAATATATCTTACAGCATATGTTCACTATATGTTAAGAAATACTACAATTGCAATATCTAATGTGAAAAAATGTTTGGAAGTAAATCCATCTTTTCTTGATGGTTATATTTTAATGGCAAAAGTGAGTTGAGTAAAAGATTTATTTATATTATGATATAAATTAATGTTGCTTTATTTTGTTTCCGTTGGTCATACATAATGAAATAGTAGTATCTAAGTACCAGTGTGATTAATACATAAATTACACCAAAAAGTGTTTTTTTAATCTAAAACGTGTGTTCTATTGTTTACTATAACTAGAGTGCTCGTTGAAAGATGTATAAGTGTCTTGGAATATAGTTGACAAGACGTGTAGACATCCGTATTTACATTTTTTCAAGGTAAATACTATTGCATGTTCATATAAAGTGATATAAGTAGATGGAGCTAGCATATAGCGGGTATTTATCTACCTTCATTCGTGTTATTGACCAGAATACAATGGAAATAATTTCACAGCGTAATATGTACTCTTTTAAAGCTACCTTTAATCTTTGAGTATATTCATGATTAAATCAATTATGATTGTCGTTTGGATAGAAACATGTTTCTTTCCAGGTTTATGTACTTTCATCGTATTAGGGTGTTACATATTATTATTTATTTATTCTTTCAATTTCCGAATTATGTTAATCATTCAAAATGACCAATCTTATTAGTTGATATTTAGCTGAAGAAAATTCACTGATATACACAGAATTCATGGTAGTTCACAAATTGATATCGCTCTTACTTAATTTAACTCAAATAAAAGCATAACTAGTTCGGTCTATCATCTGTTAAAGTATCAAAATCAATTCAAACATTGTTGCATATCATTCTATCAATATAATTGTAATAAAAACAGGGTAATAAAGTATTGAATGGAGATGTGTTTCACACTTTGTGGTTTTGTCATTTGGTCACATAGTTAGTGGAAAATCTGGAATCATGAAAGGATAACATTCCTTAATGTTCAGTATTTATTCAGTGTAAACTTGGATAGCATTCCATAGTATGCGATCCACACTAAGAAGGACTTGACACACATGACATTGATCACCACCCAGTGATCAATTAGTTGTGAAAATTGGATCCTATCACATTTACTAAAAACAAAAATCCATTTTATATACAAACTGATCAAAATAAGTGTTGCATTCATTAGTTCAGATTTCGTTTAGCTATAACATACATTATGTAATTGGAAAGGTACACTTTGATAAGAAGGGAGTAAAGAAAATCATTTTTACATACGCAACTAATAAGTTATGTTAATAAGAAAAATGTGTGTTAAAAATGGGAAATAAAGATGATTTACATTTTATTTAGGTATATCATCTATGAGATGCATGAAATTCAATTAATTCTTAGTTTATACAATAGGTTCCATTACTTTCTACTTAACTGTACTATTTTAAACCAATTCCTTCTTTTTTATTATAAGTTGGCTGACAACTGTTCTTTGACTTGTCATTCCCATAATATATAGTTTCATTTCTTTGTAATGGTCATAAAAAATTCATTGAAAACTTATTCAACAATTAAAAGAGACTTAGATATTTTTCAGTGGAGTAAAAACATGTAAATTGATAGTAACTATCTTGTAAGAAGATCAGTCTGAAATTTATTTTTATAACGATGTTTTATAGCATAGACTATTATCAATTAGAAAGTGGTTAGAAATCATGTAGTGCCAGAGAAACATCTCACACTTAGTTAATGTTTCACTTGGTACTGTATACAAGATTATCCACTCAAAGGTTCTACAGTGGAAAATTTACCATTTAGATAATTTATAAGGACTGGATAACTGACAATTCTTAACGTTGGTATATAACTAAACCATCATATAATATCGTTCAGTCAGAGTCACCCTTGATACCAATCTTACTCGTAAGGTATTTTTTGGACATATCAGAATAATTGTTATGCTTATATTTCACGTGTCTTATAAATTAACTTAGTGGTTAAGGTGTTTGAGTTTCAACCACCAGATCTGAGGTTCGAATGTTTCTCCACTTTTTTTGGTTTGAGTAGCCGAGTAGCATTACTAGCCATTATAGATAAAAAGTGACTAAATGTTGATTATACAAACTTAAACTTGATGAATTACAGTTGCATAGCTTATCAAGCTAACATATCTAGAATTATATGAAAGAAGCTATAGATTTTAATCGGCACTATTCGACGCTACGGCTAGCTCAACGTTTTCGAAGTTGCTAAGGTTTTACCTCTTTCCTCCATGATTTAACTAAGTACAACGTTTTAGAAAAATACTTGATTCTCCTAATTATGAAGTGACATTTGTCCTTTTTTTACTAATAAAGATGAAAAATAGAGTAGAGTACATAACTCATAGGTAATTTCATTTACATAGTACCATTTTTTTTAGCTTATCAAGAATAGGAAAAATGATTTTATCAGAACAGTATAGATTCTTCGTCTTGTGTTAGATCTTTGTCATCTAATTTCAACCTGTGTTACTTATCTATCAAAATTAAAAAGGAAATTTAACATAATTTTATAGAAATGAAACTAGTTCAGTGTTATTGTAAGCATGCATTAGTACTGTGGAGAAGAAATTTATAGAATTCAAAAGGAATAGAAAAGAACAAACAATATCTTAAAATTGAATATCATAATGAAGTAGGTTCTGGAAAATCTGTTAGTATATATGTAGTGATAGATCTCTGAGTCGCAACCAATATCCTATTCATGTAGTTATTAGTGATGATCAAAGTCTACTGACGTCAATCTATATGATGCGACAATGAGTGGAACCATTTAAAATTTTAAATGGTTAGAGGTAGTCTACATGAAACCATTAGCCTGTATTTTGTGTTAGAAGTTATTTTTTAATCACCATAGTTCCTAATGAAACAGTGGTTAAACAAAATCATTGTCTCTCTTTACTTATTTCCTTTTTTATTGATAAAGACACTGATAACATGTTTTATTGTAAATGAATTAAGGTTTGCATTTTCTTAAACTAATGTATTTATTTTTACAACAGCTATTATTTTAGTCCTTTATAATTAGATTATATTTTAATCGCATATTTTGTGTAATCATATATCAAATGTTGAGAATCTATTAAGTGGTATATAAAGTATTTTCATAAAGTGATCATTACTTATGTGAATTACATAGGCATTATCATAGAACCTATTGTATTTCAGATGTGTTTCATTTTTTCACAAATTTAAAAGATGAATTCACTTGGTGATGTTTTACTTGTATCTTACCATTGTTATTTTGGACTGCAATTGATCAGTCTCTTATTGGCATATTTACATCCTGTGCGGATTGCCTCGATGGCGTTTGAAGCGAACGGTATTGGGTTGGAGTCCTGGAGTAAACATCAACTGTAGTATGCAGGTAAATACAGCTGACGAGTCCCAAATAGGACAAAACGCGCGTCCTGGATTCCACTGCTAGCTACTATCCATCTTTGATTTAAAAGATAAGTTTTCTACCAGTAGTACATTTTGAGTGTTTAGATAAGAATAATATTAAAAACAATGGAGAGTACAACATATTCATTGTAGCCATATAAATAAAAACTACGTAAAGGATTGAATTTAACAGAGTGGAATAAAAGAAATTGCTTTTCATACCTACTTCTCAAGTTCTATTCTATTAATAACTTTCTTGAAACATCGGCGAAGCAACCACAAACAGACATAATGACTGTAAAACGTAGTACTAGTACTAGTTTGTATCGGTTCAAAAACTTTCACATTTGTATTAAAAAGTTAATAGTCTTGTTAGTCAATAGTCACTAATCTCATCATTAAACAACAATAAACTTTGTTGTCACTGATTTTTGTAATTAGGTTCGAGTTGATAATGTTTATAACAATTCTTATCAGTTCAGATCAAGTACACTGTAGTTAAGGTATGTAAATGCTCAAGGCTGAAAAAATCATCCTATTTATTAGACATAAGAATGCAAGTAGAGTGTAACTAACCCCAACTAATAAACTAACAGCAGCTCACATGCAATTGAGTTTGTTCACATTTAATTTGGTTAATCCCTTTTGTTAACCTATTAAACGGACAGTGTTGTTCGTATAAAAACAATTTATCTATATCACTTTACCTTTATTATTGTTACACTTGTATGGATATGTATGCTTGAGCATTGCTTACTGCCTACACACATATTCACAGTGTTAGCCTCATTATTAGTTGTTTAATTGGTTCTATGAATAATATATATATATTTTAATCATGTTCACTGACTCGCTGACTTGCTTGCACACTCTCTCATTCAACTCTCACGCTCACTTTCATATTCATCATAAATTAAGTTTTTGAGGAAATTTTGATGTTAGGTGTTTGGATGTAGTCAGCAGGAAACATCAGATCTAAGTATTGTGTTAGTTAATGCTTGTCATCAAGGTGTAATTGAAATTTCAAGGGAACTGGATAGTTTATTTTTCATGCAAGATTTTACTACTCCAATAGAACAGGAAATTTATGACACTGTTCCTTAGTAAATACAGTTTGTTAATGACCTTAGAATACACAGAACATATGAACATATTTGAAGATAATGACACCACAGCAATGGTCTCTGTTGATAATGAGGACTTCCAGTCTATTGCGAACCTTTGACGCACGGAGAAAAACTCAAACCATAAACTTTTGGGATATTCCTACCGATCTGTTAGACTATAAATCATTTGTAGCGTTTTCTACTATGTTCAGTAACTCACTTATCCTATCTTTAACAAACCTGCACTTCTATATATTAGACAAATTGAAGATTATATTACACTTTGGTCATCAGTCCAAACTTGATTGTAAAAACCTGAGTACTTCACAGAATTATTTAACAACATTTAAACACTTAAAAACTATATTTGGATTAATACATTTATCTAAATATAGGTAGGCTGTTTAATTCGAATTTTTCTAATTTCACTTTTAAGATGATGTATTTCAGTCAATCAGATAACTAGTTTGTATGGAAAAAAATTGAAAATTGATTGAATAAAATAAACAGGATTGGAATGTTAACTATCTAAGAATTTGCTGAGACTTTATTTTCTGAATGGTAGTAATTCTTTCCCATGTTAATGTAATTCATTAGTA